ACACGGTACGGATTTTGATGGATTGGTCTAGCCGTGTCCTCTGTGATGATTCGGTGCTTGGTCAAGGACGTCCGGCCAACTTTCGAGGTCGACGCAAAACAGTCGTGGAACTCGTCTAGCAGCACAAGCAGGCGTTCCCGCTGTTGCTGAGTTAAAGTAAGGCTGACGTCAAGGTTAGGTGCTAGGTCACGTGGGTCTTGTGCAGGTGTTGCTTCGAGTGCTGAAAAGCAGTCATGAACATCTGCGATCTCGTCGAAATGTGCCAACGTTGTGCCTTTTGGAAGGTGCCGTCGCTCGGAGGTGAAATTGGTCAACAGCAAGTTCGTTCGGCCGTCGGTGACATTGACTATTCCTCGTGCTACGGAAGTCCCGTGAGTGAAAAGCAGCGAGGTTAGTTGGTCGGCGACTCCTTCACCGTCGAACGGTACGTCACATGCTACTGAAACGAGGATACACGATCGAGGCGGCACGACTATATTGTGGTCTTTGAGACAAAAGGATTTGTGCTCTGGTGATGTATGATCAGTCAGACGAGCACTCTCGTAAAATGAAACCACGCGGTGCGGGATGTTGAATATTGCGCCATGCTCCCTGAGAAAGTCCATTCCTATAATTAAATCTTTGCAGCACTCTGGGAGAACAATGAAAGTCGCGACAAAAGAAGAATCTCCTATGCTGATTCTTGCTGTGCATCTTCCTGTGGGGAGCAGCAATTGACCACCCGCTGTTCTTATATGTGGTCCTGTCCATGGCGTTCTTACTTTTCTAAGATGATCAGCCAGCTTCCGACTTAGTATGGAAAAATCAGCACCCGTATCGACTAAGGCCGTCACTTGCTCTCCGTCAATAATTACATTGAGGTCGGCGCTCACCATTTCGTCGTTGTTAATATTTGTTGGCGTCAAGTCGTTCTCTCGCGGCAGTACTGGGGGCTTTTTATCGTCTTGTGGTCGGGCTGCGACCTTACCCTTAGAGGTCGCCGCCTTTTGTTTCCCCGGTAAGGGCTGGGCGACCTTGTTGCCCGAAGGTCAGCAAAAGTACGTCGATTCGGTGATGATGTCTGAGCAGGGGATGGAGAGCGTGACCTGTGGGCGGAATTGGGCTGGCGATGAGGAGGCGACTCGTGATAGGGAGACCACGTTGTTGAAGGTCCTCGAAAAGCAAGGTCGTCATGGCAAACAATGTAGTCGTCATTGGTACGGCGACCGTCGTACCCTGGCCGAGACGGGCGAAGCGATGTGTCGCGGTACCAACAATAGCGAGCTATATGGCCGGCACCACCACAGTTGAAGCAGAGAGGGCGCCGATCGACCGTGCGCCAAGCGTCCGTTCTGCGAAATTGTGGGCGTCTTATGTCCTCTCGTGGTGGTGAGTAAGGCGCGGCAAGTGGTGGCAGGTGGCATGGAGACATCGGAGACATGGGCTGACGTCTGAAAGCCTCCTGCAATGGTTGCGACAAAGGTGCGGCTGTAGGTGGCTGGTAGTATGATGTAATGGGCTGGACGTGGTGGTCGGCGGACAGCGTCGGCGTAACTCAGTTGACGCTGATCGCGATCGAGATCAGCTGCTGAAAAAGCGTGCCTAAGTTCGTCACGAATGACTGCGGCAACGGCGGTCACTGTTGTATCCACTGGAGGATTCCAAATCTTCTGCATTTCTTCGCGGACAATATCTCTGATAAGGTCACGTAGGGAGCCCTGATTGTCCAGAGTCACTGAAGCGGCGTTGATTGGGGTGGTAGTGGACGAGCGATCATATTGTCTCGATCTTTGGTACAGAGCACGCTCAATGGCAGTGGCTTCTCTTATAAAATCGGCCACGGTAGTTGGGGCATTGCGCACAAGTCCAGCGAGCAGTTGTTCTTTCACGCCACGCATAAGGTAGCGCAACTTCTTCTCCTCGGACATGTTGGGATCAGCCCGACGACAGAGGCGCGTCACGTCTTCAGCAAACATTGCCACAGTTTCGTTAGGTTTTTGAAGCCTTAACTCGAGCAACTGCTAAGCCCGCTCACGACGGTCGACGCTAGCAAAGGTGTCAATCAGCTGCTGACGAAAGTCATCCCATGTGGATTTACGGCCTTCTCAATTCTCAAGCCACGTGTGAGCGCCGTCATCGAGTGTGAAATACGTGCAGGCGAGCTTCTGTTGAGCATTCCACTGGTTGGTGTCGGCAACGCGTTCGTAATGCTCAAGCCAATCTTCAACATCTTCGTGTGGGGCACCATTGAAGCGATCAGGCACAAGTGGCTGAAGAAGTGTTACCTGGGTTGGATTGGAAACGGGGCTGCCTTGTATCCCTTGGACCAACTGTGGCTGGCTAGCGGAGGCCATTGGTAGAGGTACGTAATGCCTGGTAGAATTTTCGTCGAAGGAGGTTAGCTCAAGAGATAGGCCTAGCAACCGCCGACTGAAGCGGTGCACTGGTGTCGTAACAGATGGCTGCGTGTGCGTGTCGGGACTTGATGAACGGCTCCCAGATGGGGTGTTGAGCATCGGCA